CCCTTCACCCTTCTCTGCTTTCCCTTCCACTTGATCTCTCTTCCGCACCCAGAAGGTCTCCAAGGCCTCCATCTCAGCACCCTCCACCCTTCATTCCATCCGTTCCCCAGTACTGACCTAGGGCAGGCTCTGCGCACTCCTTGTGCTGCTCAGGGGTACAGAAAGGGGCATCCCCTGCAAAGAAGGAACACAGGGAGAGGTACTCAGGCAGCAAGGCCTCCCCTCCCGGGGCTGGGGGAGGGGAGTACATCTCATTACTGGGGAGGGGCAGCAGTCTGCCAGTGGACAGTCAGAAGGAGGCCCTGGATCAGGGTAGCGGATGGATGCAGTGTACCCAGAACCAGAATGTTGGCTTCTGATCTGATCTGCTCTGCGACCTTGGGCAGGCAAATATGGGTCCCGCCTGGCTAACTTCTCCCAGATTGCTATGCAGGGGCAACGAGCTCATGTGGGAGGTAGGAGAGAAAGCCTTGATGGCTGAAAGTGGGCAGGCAGTGGCAAACACCTACTAGGTTCTGGGCATGCATCAACATCCTTCACCCACACAGATTCCCTCTGAAGTATCTGTTTTACCCACAAGAGATGAGGCCTAAGTATCTTGCCTTCTCAGGACACCAGAGTGGCAGTGAGGGAGGTAGGCTTGGAGCCCAGGTCAGTCCGATCCTGAGGCTGGGCTCTTTCTATCACAGCACACTGCTGTATGAGAGGAGGTCCGTTTTGTAAGTTCCTTTTTGTTATGCCCTTAATTCCACATTAGCAATTGAGATGCCAGTAATAGTGTCATGGGTGGGATGATTAAATCCCTGCTGCTCACCCTTGGCTCAGGTTCCATGGGGGAAATCTCAATGGCTGCTGACCCAGTCTGAGCAGCAGACAGGTAACGCCAACTACTGCTCGATTGCTCTTTCTGGCATGTCTTTGTGGAAATCTGGGACCTTTTTTTTTTTTTTACTTTTACCAAGTGCTAAAGTTAAAGTTCACCACAATGTCTTTCCCTTACCATTTCCTGAAACACTTTTTCCAAGAGCTGAGGAGCTGTTATGCTCCCTCCTTTCCAATAATAGTAATTTAACGCATGTTTCCCTTTCTGCATTGTCTCATAGGCGGCTCAGAGGCAATTTTAAAGATCGGTAGTTCTAATCTTAGATTACTAAATAAATTACTGATTACTAACGAAATAGTTCAGAATTTAGCTAGGAGGATGTTCATTTCAGCATTAATTATAGCAAAAAACAATTGGTAATGAACTAAATTTCTGATATAAGGATTTAGTTAAATATAGTTAAATAAAGTATGTTATAAACATAAAATAGTAGCCATTAAATATGATAGCAAAGTTCCTGGCACATAGTAGGTCTTCAGTCAACAATACTTTTGGTTTTCTCTCCCCATGTACTAACACGACCACCACTGACTTCTGCAGTTTACAAATCATTTTTTAAATCTCTTAGTCTAATTTTATCCTCGTAACAACCAATGTTTGTGTTTTAAAGACAATGAGGTAAGAACAGAGAGGTTTAGAAACTTGGGCCAAGACACACAGCAGGTAAGTAGAGGAACCTGAATAAGAATCCAAAACCCCTGCCTCCAGCTCGTCATCCTTCCATGATGCAACACCAAACTTTCTGCCTTAATTAACCCTTGCCACCTGCAGCTTCTGCCTTTGACATGCTGACCTCCTCTAATGAGATAGCTGCATGCACTATTAGTCTGATAACAGAAATGTCAGCATATGCTTATTATTTGCTGGCAAATGGACTTTTGCCTCATTTGAAAGAATGCTGGACATGCGGATGCAAGAAGAGAAACATCTAGATGAAAGCAATAAACATCTGGACATTTGAATGTGTACCATACCAGGATGCAAGACTTGCAAACATCCAGATATCTGGACACTAAACTGTAGGAGGAGGTAAGAGCAGCAAACAACTAGTGAACATATTGAGCACTGGGAGGAATGTTCCCCAAACATCTGGATGCTTCTGGATACCAGGGTGCTGCCTTGGTTGCTGGAGTGGATGTTTCTACCTGCCCTCTAAATGTTTGGGCACCAAATAACAGTCTTTATAGAACAATATCCCTTTGGATCCTACTGGAGTAGGGGACATGTGTGAGAAATGCAAAGAAAGCCCCAGGTGGTCCCTGTCAGGACGTTGAGGCCACCCTTCCCCTGGCACTGACCTGGCATGTGGACCATGCGGCAGTTGCAATTCTCTACAATGTAGCGAGTCTCACAGTCAATCCTACAGGCGGTGATACTGTAAACAGGAAAAAAGTCGAGTCCCATCTCTGCGGATCGGCACTCGCCCCACGGTGGAGGCAGGTATGTGAGCTGCAAGACAGGAAGGTGGAGGCAGCAGTCAGCCCTGGAGGTTCAGCCTCCACAGACTTAGTGGCTCATTCATTCACTTATTCAATCAACAAACAATTATTGAGCATCCACTACATGACAGTCTAAACTTCACTGACCTCACAGACCTTCAACATCTGGCTCCAACACCATTTTTCCTAGCTTACCTTTTATAATCTTCCCAGGAATAATGCTGATCTTCTTAGTCTCTTACACATGACACAGGTCTTCCTACTTCCATGCTTTGTCATGTCCCAACTCTTGGAACGACTCAGTTAAATTCTACCCTCTTGGCTTGAGACGTTGGGACCCCAGACCTAAACCTGGAGGACCAAGCCTGGAGGAAAGTTCAGGATGGAATGGCCTTAAGCATAAGCCTAAAGTGTCGTTTATGATCCTTGGCCCTGATTAGAGCAACTCTCCAGTGTCATGCTGTGGCTAAACTCCTTTGGGGAACATGTCATTCTTATTCTCAGAGGTCTGATGACCATAAAATGTTCCAACACCTATGGACTTGCCTGCTGGGGACAGAGAGGGTGAAGGATAAGGGAGCCAATGGGCCAAAGGTTGTCGAGCATTTACTATGTGTTAAGCCCCAAGCCAAGTCCTTTACACTTTTCTTTTTTTTTAATTGAAGAATAAAAAATACAATAAAATGCACATGTTTTCTGTACATAGTTCAGCGAATTCTGAAAAATGTATATTCCTATGTAACTATCACTTCAATCAAGATATAAGACATTTTAAATGAGTCTAGAAAGTTGCTTCCTATCCCTTTCCAATCAGTTCCCCACCTGCCCAGGCAATCACTGTTATAGATTCTGTCACCATAGGTTGGCTTTGCCTGTTTTCAAATTTCATGTAAATAAAAGTTTGCACTACGTGCTCTTTTGTGTCTGGCTTCTTTTGTTCAACACAATGTCTATTACACAAAGTAAACTTTGAGACAAAGATATTGCAGGAGATAACGAGGGTTATTCACAATGATAATAGGATTAATTCATCAAGAGGATACAATAATTTTAAATATGTAGGGCATAACGATAAGTTTCAAAAATACATGCAGCAAAAATTGACAGAACTAAAGGGAGAAATAGATCTAAAGTTAGAGATTTCAATACTCTTCTCTTAGTAACTGACGAATAAGTAGACACAATGTCAGTAAAGATATAGAAGATTTGAGCAACACTATCAAACAACTTGACCTAATTCCCTTTTATAAAACACTACACCAACAATTACAGAATACATATACTCTTTAAGTACATATGGAGCATTCACGAAGAACACCATATGCTAGACCATAAAACAAATTTTAATAAATTTTAAAGAAATGAAACCGCAGGCAGTATGTTTTTTGATGAAAGTGTAACAAAATTATAAATGAATAACAATAAGTAAAAAGAGAGATAACACAAGTTACCAATTTTAGGAATGAAAGAGAAGACATCACTACTGATTCTACAGACATTTAAAAAATGATAAGATTATTATATACAACTTTTTGTTAATAAATCAAAAACTTAAATAAAATAGATTCCTTGGGGAAAAAAAACAGCAAAACTTGCACGAGGAAGAAATAGAAGCTTAAATCTTATGCCTACTGTTTATCTTTTCCCATTCTTTTAGTCTTTTTTGTTTATCTTTTTACTTTTAATATGTCAGAATATTTGTATATTTAAGATAATCTCTTATAAGTTACATTTGAATGCCGCTATTTTATCCTTTCTGACAATACTGGAGGATTTAATCCACTCACATTTAATGTAATTCTTAATACGGTTGAGTTGAAGTCCACTATCTTGCTTTGTTTCCTATTTGTTTCCAGTTATTTCTTCCTTTGTCATCTCTTTCCTGACTCCTTTTTGGGCTGAGTTTTGTTTTGATAGTTCATTCTATTTCTTCTATTGGGTTTTGATTTATACCTCTTTATATTGTTATTATTATTGTTGATCTAGGATTTATAGTATGCATCCTTAACTGATCACAGCTTATTTTGAATTAATATTTTACCACTTCACATATAATTCTAATTACATCCCTTCCTGTTCATTATTCTTTCCTGTATTGAATTTCCATTTGATATCAGTTCTCGTCAGTCTGAAGAACTTCCTCGAATATTTCTTATAGTATGGGCACATGTTTTACTTGTGGTTTACTTGTGGAAATTTCCTCAGTTTCCGTGTATCTATAAAATGTCTTAGTTTTGTCTTTATTTTTGAAACATATTTTGACTATATATAGAATTCCAGGTTAAGTGTTTTAGCATTTCGAAGATGTCCCACTGTCTTCTGCCTTCATTGTTTGAGAAACTGAAATCAGTCATATTTTTTTCATCTCTTCTGTCTACACATTGTCATTTCCCTTCTGACTGCTTTTAAGATTTTCTTTTTTTTTTTTTTGGATTCTCTGGGTTATAACTATGCCATACCTAGATGTGGTTTTTCTTTGTCTGTATCCTGCTTGGGGATTTTGCTGAGGTTCCTGTATCTGTGGAATGATGCTTTCGAACAAATTTGGAAAAATATCTAGCCAATATTTCTTTACTTAACTTTTCCCCCATTGTCTTTCTCTCCGTTCTTTCTGGGATTATACGAATGTTGGACTGCTCGATACTGTTCCACAAATCATCAGGGCTCTGTTCACTTTTATCAGTCTTTTTTCTCCTTGTGCCTCATTAATCGGATAATTTCTATTAACCTGTCTTCAAGGTTGATGTTTACTTATTGTTTTCTATACAATCTTATTCAACAGTTTTTAAGTTTCAGGTAATTGTAATTTTCAGCTGCAGGTTGACTTTTTAAAAACGTTTCCCTATCTTGCCTAAAAGTCTCTCATTATTTACATCTCTTTCTGCAATTATTTAACATACTTATCACTGTTATTTTAAAGTTGCTATTTTCTAATTTCAGCACAGGTTATATGTGGATCTGTTTTTACTGATTATTTTGTTTTCATATTTTCCCTCTTTCTTCACGTGTATAGTAGTTTTTGATTGGATAGTGGAGGACATAGTCATTTTTTTATTGTATGTTTTGGATAACTCTTTATAGTGACCCCAGATTAATTTTCTTCCATTGAATTTCACGGAGTTTTATTTTAACAGGCAGTAAACACAGTGAATCACTTTGATTCTGTGAAGGTGCTCTTCAGGCTTTGTATAAGAATGGGTATATTTTAGTTTTTCCCTTAGCCCTTAGTCTTGGGATGTGATCTTAACTCTTCAGGAAGGCACTTCTGGGATTTCAATGAAAAGCCTGAAGTGTTTAGCAAGACTCTTTACCTTAAATTACAAAGTCTGTCTCCCTTGCATTGTCAGCCGCTGAGATAACTACTCAGCTCCTTCAACTTTAGGCCTGGGCTTCTTGGAGTGCTTCCCCATCCACATGAAGTTCAAGGTTCAGTCTATGATTTTAGGGAAGCTTATGTAAAATTTCGGGGCTCCCCCTCTGTGGGTCCTTCCTTTCTAAGATTTCTCTTCTCATTTTTCAGCCTTTCTGGTAACCCTGAACTCTGACTTGTGACTTTTTAACTCAATGATTGCTGCTTTCAACTTGAGCTCTATCTCTAGTATTCTCTTAGAACTTTATGTGCCCTTAAGGAACAGGTCAGAAAAATAAATGTGCATTTTACCCAGTGCAGGTCCCTATCCTCAAGGGCTGTATACCCTCTAGTTTCTGCCTGCTTTAGTCTCTCTCAAGTGTCATCAAACAGAAGTTTTAAAATATTTTGTCCAGAATTTATAATTGCTTTGTCCAAGAGGGTTAGTCTGATAGAAGCTGTTCTACCATTACCGAGAAGCAAATCTCTATACTTATTTTATTTAACATTCACAGGACTCCTTTGAATAGGAGATGTTCCTATTCTCACTTTTTGAATGAGGAACATGAGTATTATAAAGGTTAAGTAGCCTGTTGAAGATCACATACCTGTCAGTGGCAGAGCTAGCATATGGTTCTGGGAATTTTCGACTCCCACCTTGTGCTTGTTGCACTATACTACATTGTCTCTATAGGACAATAAGTAGAAAAGAGGGAGAAGAAACACACCAGAGAGGACTTTCAGAGCTTTTCTCTTTTGTGTTTATCTAACGGCTCTTTTCTTCTTCTCTTTACATGCAGATTTGCTTTACTATCTCATCTCTCTTTGGAGTTCTTGAGCTGACCAGACTTTTACACAAATTTCCTATTTGGCCTTGGATAAACTCCCCTCTGGACCTTAGTTTCCCCATCTGTAAATAGAAAAGATTTGGGGGTAGGTTTGATATTCTATGATGAGAATGGATTAGGTCCCCTACATTGCTTAACGTTGGACTAATAAACACACAGACTGGATTTGGGAAGGACTAATAGTGACTTTTGGCAAGGCTGAGAGTCTAAAATGATAGAAATTAACTTTCGGGGGGACTCATTTCTTTTTATCCTGCTAAAACAGTTTCCCACAACGGGTGGACCAAGAACGTAGCTGGTAAAGCTCTGGTGGTGAGCCAAGGTCTGTTTAGGGGCGACCACTCTCCCGCCTTTTTTTTTTGCAAAGGTCTTGATTCATATAACACGGCTACCTTGCTGCAGCTGGTTCATCATTTGCTCCATCAGCTTTTCTGAAGCTTCACACATCACGGCAGATGGAAAATCATAGCATGTGCAGCATCAACTCTTGCTTACCGATGAGTGTCTGAAAGTGGGTTGAAATATTTGTTTATCTCGGGCAAGAAATGCCTCAGGGAAACCTTGAGGCACTGTCTTCAAGTATCTGAAGAGCTGTCTCAGGGAAGAAGAATGAGATTTGTTTTCTGGCACCCCGAGGGAAAGGCAGATGCAAGAATAGTTGTAATAAGGAAAGTGGAGACCATGATAGCATTTATTGATGTTGTAGGCACCATGTTAGGTACAATACATGCATCGCCTTCTTTAATCTTCAAGAAGGATAAATTCTGTCTCAACTTTCTAATCCATTTGTATGATTCAATAATAAAATTACTA